AAATATATATATATTTTTAGTTGGCTTAAAGACCATTCACCTGCTCGGTTGTCGTAGGGGAACTTTAGTCGTTCTTTAGAACTGAGTTCAGGGAAAGAAAAAGAAAGTCGTTCTCTTGCGTTCACGTCCTCCACAAAACGTGAAATTATTTTCACGTTATAGTCGTGCAGTGACGGTAAAGAAAGGTACAAAAAAGCGTGATACACGTGCAAAGTTGTTGTTTGGCCAATCAAAACCTATCGCTTTTTTGCCGCTCTCGTTGACGTCGCCGTCGTCGTTGCTTAAGCTCCCTACTAGGGACTTTAAGATCCAACGACGCGACCGCAACGAGAACGTCAAAAAACAATAGGTTTAATAAGCAAACCAACAACTTTGCACGTGCATCACACTTTTTGTGCATTTCTTCCCAGTTTCTGCACGACTACGACGTGAAAATTCCTACAATTTCGCCTTTTATGGGGAACGTAAACAAGCAACGACGAAATTTTATTTCTCTCCCTGAATTTGTATATAGTCCCTTAGAATTCAACTTCAGGAGGCTTCGCCTACATTCGACAAAGTAGGTGGGTAGGAATAATCGCGATAAAGGCTGAAATAACGCAAATTCACTCTTTTTAAGCGACGTTCTCGTTGCCGTTGCGTCGTTGGATCTTAAACTCCCTACTGTGTGTCGCAAAACGCCGGCGAAGATACAAGTGTCGGTCCTCATCGTGTCAAAAAATGGCTGCTTTGCTGAAGTTTTATTACACTCTTCTAAACATCTGAGGAAAAACTACAAGTACCTAAAGATGTCTCATTTGAGGGATTACAGAAAAGGTTCATGTTTACCCACAATGTTAAAAAAAACATACATATACACATAGAGGTTTAAAGGTTTAACGACTTATATCCAGCTAGTTTACAGGCACTCCTCCCGAATACTTAGAAACAAATAATTCAAATATAACATAAAGAGATTAAAAAACCCAACTGGCGGGAGGCAACCAGTTGGCTATTTACAATACTGTGGTACTTCGACTTAATACACATACAAAGGGGACATGCCCCAGTGCCCGCGTATTATCTAGGCGTTCGTATTAAGCCGTTTTTTTATAGAAAAAAATATGAGCTTTTTGTTGGAACAAACACGTATTAAACGGGTGTCAATAGAGCGGGGTCCACTGTTTTTTTATTTGATCAGGCGGTAGGATGAATATTCCCGAAGTGCAGAGGTACTTTTCAAAAACCGCTTGTTGAAACTAGGGGTACAAGGCCAGCATAAATTTTTAACTTAAACAGCTTTTATTAAAAAAGAGAAAAGAAAAGAAAACGAAGAAAAACAGAAAGATAAACAGATTTCAGCTACTAGAAGCAAAGCAGACAGAAATTAAATTCAAAACCGTTCTGAAAAGGCATAACATCATAGATTTTACTAACATCAAAAGGGGGTGAAATTTGAAGGTTTTGTGTTTGAGTCTCTTTAGTGTGCAAATATTTGCTTTTTCCACGTTTATAGCTTTTTCTTCCTATTTACAAATAATAAATCTAGCTTGGAGCAGGGCGAACAGAGAAATGTTTAATTCATTAAACTAGCAAAGCTTTTTTTGTGAAACTTGAAATCGCAAAGTTTAAGTGGCCTTTTGTGTAATGACAGATATATGGGGGATTCGTTAGCCGATGATGTTGTGTCCTTTCGGAACAGTTTTGAGTTGTTTAATTTCCGTCGCCTCTGCTTCTTGGAGCTGCAATATGTTTATATTTTCTGTCACGATTAAATGCAAGTCGCAGTTGTTTAGTAAAGTCGAACAAATCAGTAAGAATTGGATAGAGTACTAAACTGGTACGGGCTGGATAAGAGCTGCTTCAATTTCACTCACAAGGCTTAGGTGTAATCAGGCTCTAAAGGTGATATGCTTTAGGCTATTTTCATTTACAGACCCTAACTTACACACAAACGATGACATAAACGTTGACATTAACTGAAAAGGAATCACTTAGGAGAAGGCCTTCGAATGTGTCTATATTTAATCAGCTGTATTCTTCGATATTTGAAATAAAAATGGTCACGTGTAAAGATATTACTTTCATTTGTGTCCTTTGTTTCAAAAGGCTGATAATTTCTTTTGAAATATAAGACCGGTTTTTCAATGAAAATGAAATCTGGAATAGTTCGGCGGTAACGGTAAGTGACTGATGAGTAAGATTGTACTAAATAACCTTAAAAAAAGCAATTTTTTAGTCCATTGTTTATCAAATCCATTTTTAAATTCATTTTTAATTACCGACGACGAACTTAAACAGAGTAAAAGAGGTATAAGTAACGTAAGAAATTAAAGTGAAGAAATTATGTTTTTCGTCTAAAACGAAACGCGGCGAAAAGGCTTACAATTATGACGGTAAATTAATTTTCGAAGTGATATCCTTTCGCTTTTTTTTTCTTTTTTTTTTATTACAGAAACGTCGAGAGATTCCTAGTTTATTAAAAAAAAACTGCTTATAATTGTACTTTATCGCCATTTTACTTGAATTTTGACTGAAATGCGAAACTGTTTGCTTAAGGATCGTGATGTACGAAGTAAGGACAAACAAAGGACAAATTGAAGTATTACCCATTTTAACTTAAGTACACTTACATTTCGCTTCATTTATTTTTTTTTTTTTCAGAGACTGGTCCGCTGACATTAATCTCGAAAAAAATGTTGATCCACGTAAGCTTCCTTGTGATATTCATGTTAAGCTGGATCGAGCCTGCACACGAACAAGCTGTTCATCCGTTTCTTTACTTTTCATCCCAAGATGTCCATCGTTTACGAGAGAAAGCCAAAACGACCCATCGCGATATATTTGTTCGCTTGAGAACAGCAGCTCGTAGAATGAAAGCTGAACCATCGCGCTTTCTTCCACCAACCAACTGGAGCGTGTTTGCCAGTAGATGGAACGAAGATCATGGCAATAACTTTGCGGCCTTAGCCATGTACTGTGTTTTAAACCCCACGGACGTCCAAGCAAGGAATGTAGCAATGCAGTTCTTTAATGCATTTGTCTCTTTGCCGAACTAGCGTGTCAGTGCTTCCATAAGGGATGACGTCCCTGTGGCACACAGCTTGGTTGCTATGGCAACCGCTTACGATTTTCTTTTCGAACATTTAAAGACCTTCGAATAAAAGCCCTTGGAAAGATTTCAGATGTCACAAAAGAACTTTACGAGAGATCTTTTAAACTCGCTTGTTGAAAACAGTACATTCAGAATCATGTTGCTACTAATTACGTTGCATTTTTTACAGGTGGCGAGTTTAGTGGTTGGTACAGATCTGAGTTGGCCTAAATCCTGGGGTTCTTTTGGTCATTGATCATATTGAGAAAACATGGAATAGGACGTCAGGGCGGACACCATCGCAATATATGCAAGTATAGATGGACCAGCCAGTCGGACCAGCCGACTTCGCAGGTCGCTAACACCACGCGCGGGATAAGCGCTTAGCGCGCGACGAGATTATAAACCTCGCGAGGCCAGGCGCCTTTGGCGCCTCACTTCGCGCGCAATACACATTTGATTGATCATTAGTATGTCTGCCAGTTGTAGCATGACGAATGAGTTGCCTGTTTTTCATGCGCAGGAATATTAATGTGCAAAATAAGTTTGAGCTTGCAGTACAGTATGTGGCTCTATAAGTATTAAGAGGATCCTGTTTGAAACAGGCCATATTAGCAGAAGGCGTTGAAATAGAAAAAGGTCATTCGGGAGTCCATAAGGCTCCTAATTCTACGGCCCATCATTTTCCTTGAGATTCACCTCACTTTTCAGTCGTTTTTACTCGGCTAACTCGAATAGTTCGATTCAGTTCTCCACTATCCCTTTAGAGTTCGAGTTACCTAGATTCTTCTATATATATGGAATATCGCGCAGCTGGGAAACAATAAGGTCAGTCAAAATGGCCGACTCTTCATGTGATATAATAGGACAGCCGAGAGAGAAAACAAAGACTTTTTGTAATAAAAATGCCTCATCGTGGAGTTTACTGAAAACTTAGTTAAAACTCTAAACATATAGACATTTGGCTTCATTTGGATCTGTTTCAGGTACATGACTTCATAGTGAACGTCACTTATGGCGCCGTCGTATCTCCTAACCATAGCAGACTTTCAGTTTTGTTAAAAGTTTATTGGTTTCAATAATTGAGCTACTTTTTGTTACAAATAAACTAACGGCTAATAAAAAGAAGAGTTTTTAATAGTCATAATCATTGTTTAAAAATTACAGAAAACTTCCCTTGGGAAAAGGAATCCTAACCCTAAGCCTCCCACCCCACCCCCTGTACGTTGGAGGGTTAACGTATTTAACTGATAGTCTCAAATTTTATCCCATAATTCTATGCAGAAATATTCATTGTTTTAAAAAAACCTTCTACTTATCGTTTGGGTTTTCTGTCTAATTGTACTGTTGCATCTATAACAGAGTTGAAAAATGCTAGGAGCTCGATTTTTGGCGTTCAAATTTTTGAACGGCTAAGTGTCTAAATTTTCGTACGGATAGTCTGTGTGAAAGTGTGAAAGGAACACACGAACGCAAGAAATTTAAACTAGTCGAAAATTCGTCCGGTGCCTTTAAAACTTTAAAATGATGAAGAGCATTATAACAGTGTGGGGCGACTGCTTTGAAGAGAGCTCAGTAAGTCATTGATAAGGCGACATTTTAAATATGCTACTGTTAAATTTTCAAGTCTTCTTTTAGTTTATGTTTGAGGGCTTAACGTTGCTTCGTTAAATGTCAAAGAAAGATTATCGAGCTGTAGAGTTTTTCGAAACGGGAGATTGAAAGTTATTTCCGGTTTTAGTGACCCTTGTTTTCTTTTATGATTCTTTGGTTTAAATTAATTTCTACCTTTGAGTTGATTCGCTAACACAACGGATTTTTCCCAAAGGTTTCAAGGACCAGAATTCTATCAAGTATGTCCATTTCCCAAGAGTACTCCAAAGAACAACTGAATTACTTCAGAATTTGTTATGCAACAACTGACATTCTCACCGAAGGCCTGAGAAAAATCTTTAAACAAGAATGGGACAAACAGCACAAATTAACAAAAGGAGAATGGAAAGACGAGCCTGGGAATGGAATGGACTTTTATAACGGAGAGTCTGCCCGAAACCAAAGGAGAAATGCTCATCTTTTAACCACAATGCAAAACGGAAACAGAGAAGAATGGGATTGCACAATGCTTTTCTACGCCATTCTTTTCTCCGATTGTGTTGGGCCCAGTCTTAGTGCAACTGTGAGGATGAACGTGGATGATCTTAGAAAATTCAGGAACGAAGAATTTGCTCATATGAAACAAGGTAGTCTCTCTGACACAGATTTTCGGAATGCTATTAGCAAAGTTGAGGTGGCATTTCAAGTGCTTGGTCTTCACACTGTCAAAATTCAAGATTTAAAAAATCAGAAAACGTTTCCGACAGAAGAATTGCGACAGATCCTTAAAAATGTTGATGACCTTAAACAAAAAGTTCAAGAAAAAGAGGATCAACGCCAGGTCCTTGAAGATCAGCTTCAGAAAGAAACGCCCTCATTTTGTATTCTTCCTCCTAAACCTTCACATGACATCGGTGGTCGAGAACGGGAGGTAACCGAAATACGCCAGCAGTTGGAGGAGCTAAAAGAGTCCAGCGATAACAGGCTGAGTTGTCTATACATCTCAGGGAATCCTGGAAGTGGCAAGTCACAGTTAGCCGGCCTTGTAGCTAAGAGGTTCTTTAACGAGGTTAAAGAAATCCCAGGCAGCTCCTCATTTGTGATGACCTTAAATGCAGCTTGTCCAGATTCACTCTTGGAGTCATATGCCTCATTTGCTCGTCATTTAATGTGTCCAGACTATTCGGTTATGGAAACCGTCAGCTCAAAGGACTGGAATGTAGAGGAAAAGATTGCCAATCTTAAGATGCTTATCGCTGTAAAAATTAGCTGTTATACGTCGTGGCTACTGGTAGTTGATAATGTCACTACTATGTCCTCTGTACATGTCCATTTACCACAGTCCGGAATCGATGCTTGGGCGAGGGGCCAGTTGCTTATTACAACTCAGGAAATAAGATCAATCCCTCCAAAAAGCTCTTTCGTTAATCACATCTCAGTCAGCAAAGGAATGGCGCCAGTCGATGCCTGTTCGTTATTAGTCAAGCTTTCGGGGATTCAAGATAAAGATATAGCGAGTAAAGTGGCGCAAAAACTGGACTATCAACCCCTTGCTTTAGCAAGTGCTGCTGTCTTTCTCAACGAGATTCGACAGAATAAAACATCGACACATTTTGGCTGGACCGAATACCTAAAGATGTTAGAAGACGGTAAAAGAGAAACTATGGAGGATATACTCGCAAATATAAACCCTATATACCCAACGACAATGACAAAAGCAATAAACCTAGCTGTCAAAACACTGATGAGATCTGACGAACTTGTGAAGCAAATTTTCACCCTCCTTTCCATCTGCGCACCACAGCAATTACACATGAACGTAGCGATAAGTTATACCATAAACGTTCACAAAGATTTCCATGAAGCGGAAAGGGAACTAATACGCATGAGATTAAGAAGATGCTCACTGTTGCTTTTTGAAGGTGACCACGGTTGCTACTTTATTCGTGTGCACCAGATTGTACACGATGCTATCAAAACAATCTTGAGTAACTATCCAGAGAGTCAAACGCCTCAGGTCGTAAGTAGCGTTATAACATCATTCAATGAATTTATAAGTGCTGTTCCACAGGTGAATAGGAGACTCGACACCATGCATATCGTCCCACATCTAAAGGCCTTAACTATGGCAACCAAACAGATTTTTGTCCGAGAAAATCTATTTCAAGTTCATGATAAAGGTATTTCAAAAAAATGTGAAAACCTTGCAAAGATTTGTGAAATGCATTGTGAATTCAACTGGGCAAAAACATATTTGAATCATTCACTCACTACAAAGCTTGAGGAGGTAGGACCTAAACATGTTGATGTTGCAAAAATCTACAATAACTTAGCTTTAATTTACAAGGACTTAGGTGACTTCATGCAAGCAAAGGAGTATCATCAACTTGCGATAGAAATCAAGCTCGAGAAGCTCGGCCCTGAACATCTTGATGTTGCAACGAGCTACAACAACTTAGCTTTGATTTACCAGGACCTAGGCGAAATAGAGCAAGCCAAGGAGTATCAGCATCGTGCTCTGGCCATCCAGCTCGAGAAGCTCAGCCCTGAACATGTTGATGTTGCAACAAGCTACAATAATTTAGCTGCAATTTACCAGGACTTACGTGACATGAAGCAAGCCGAGGAGTATCATCAACTTGCTCTAGACATTAGGCTCAGGAAGGTTGGCCCTGATCATCTTGATGTTGCAACGAGCTGCAATAACTTAGCTTTAATCTACGAGGACTTAGGTGACCTCGAGAAGGCCAAGAAGTATCAGCAACGTGCTCTAGATATCGAGTTCAAGAAGCTCGGTCCTGAACATGTTGATGTAGCAAGAAACTACAATAACTTAGCTTCAATTTACCAGGACTTAGGTGACCTCAAGCACGCCAAGCGATATCATGAACTTGCTTTAGCCATCCAGCTCAAAAAGCTCGGTCCTGAACATGTTGATGTAGCAAAGAGCTACAATAACTTAGCTTTAATTTACCAGGACTTAGGTGACCTTAAGCAAGCCAAGGAGTATGAGCAAAGTGCTCTAGCCATCGAGCTCAAGAGACTTGGCCAGAAACATGTTACGGTTGCAACAAGCTACAATAACTTGGCTTTAATTTACATGGATTTGGGTGACCTCAAGGAAGCCAAGGAGTATCAGGAACGAGCTCTAGATATCCAGCTCGAGAAGCTTGGCCCTGAACATGTTGATGTTGCATCAAGCTACTACAACTTAGCTTCGATTTACAAAGCCCTGGGTGACCTTGAGCAAGCCAAACAGTATCATCAACGAGCTTTAGCCATCAAGCTTGAGAAGTTCGGCCCGGGTAATCTTTCTGTTGCAAAAAGCTACAAGAGCTTAGCTTCAGTTTACAAAGCCTTAGGTGACCTCGAGCAAGCTAAAGAGTATCAGCAACGTGCTGCAGCCATAAAGCTCCAGAAGCTTGGCGTGTAAAGTTAGTCCAGTAAAGCAGCTGCACTAGTATTTAATCTTGACTGCCAGCAGTCTCTCTTTTTCTTCAGATTTAGTGAGGGGAGTGAACGCGCGCGCGAGCGTCGACATTTGGGTCCCCATTTACTTTCTCACAAGAGAGTCGGTGTCGAGTTACAAGCGACCGTTAAGACTTTGTATGAGAATAAAACACTAAGGTCTGCGAACGCTAAATATCATTATTTTCACTTTTTTTCTATAATTCAAATAAAGGAGACTTACCTTTTAGACATTCCTACGTTTTTTGTTGTGAATTTATCGATTTAATCGGTATTTTTGGCTGTTATGGTGTGACCCTTGTCACTTTCTTCATACCATAAAATTCCGAAAATAAGCCCCGGGGCTTATATTTTTCAAAGGCCCTTTTTGAGGGGCTTATTTTTGAAGGGGCTTATCTACGGAGGGAAATTGTCGTTTCAAAATCAACTGGGCTAGTCTTTTAGTTGGAAGTAAGTTTACCGTTTTTGCTTTGTTTTACTTTGTATTTGAGGGCAATTTTCCAAGTACGAGTTCGCGGAGGGCTTATATTTGGAGGGGCGATTTAACGGAGGGTTTTTTGCGTTACCGGTTTGGGGGGCCTATATTTGGAGAGGCTTATTTTCGAACTTTTAAGATATCTTCGTATTATAAAGAGAGTGACAGGGTCACAAAATAACAGCCAAAAATCGCCGCATGTAAGGGAATCCAGGACAGTCTTGGATTCTGGATTCCATGCTGTGGATTCCGGATTCCGGGTACTGGATTCCGGATTCCAGCACAGTGGATTCCGGATTCCAAAATGAGCTGGATTCCATTTTTTTACCGGTTTAAATGCTTTTCTTCGCGCTTCGTTTTCGTGTTCGAATCTTGCTATATTGAAAGACGTTGTTAGAAAGCACAACAAGTTTGTTTTGTTTTTCGATTTACAAAATTACGGGAAGAAATGCATTACAGTTCCGTAAGGGTTTATGGTATAATAATGAGGGGGACATTGGGGGACTGTCTTCACTGCAACACCGCAGAAAAAAAATAACAAACACCGCAGTTTTTGTCCTACGATTAATCTAATCCAAATCTCCATATAATTGGGAATGGAGGATCTCGGAGCTGGTTAGTGATTAGTAGAGAGTGAGACTGACCTCAGAACTCTATTTTTCACTTGATCTACTTTTTGTGAACTCTATTTTCAGCCGTGCAGATAGAAAAATGCATGCAACGCCCAGATTTCGCCAGTTATCCTTTTGTTTTGAAGTGTTTTTGTACAAAAAGACCATACATATCATCCTTAGCTCCGGGTATGAAAAAGCAGTGAAATATTTATTATTTAATCAATTTTAACCGACGTTCCTAGGAGGGTGGAACTTGTTTTGTCTTGTTTTGGGTCGTTGTGGATCTTTTGTCGACTATTTTTTATCGTTGTGGATTGTTTTCTCGTTTTATTAGTAACTGGCCAAATAAAAATACGCTGTGGCGTGTGCAGTTCATTCTTTGCAAAGTTCTGTTCACTAAAGAGTAGTTTTCCGTCTCAATAAAACTTGGAAAACCATTTTTATCTTATCTTTTACGACTTTTTAAAACTCTGTCTCCGTGTCAATAAAGATTTTTGAAGAGGGTATAAAATTCTCGTGTAGAAGTTGACGCGTACTGCTTTGAGGTTTTACTGTCGAGTTGAATTTGATGTTAAAAAGAACCAAAACAACAAAAAATTACAGTTGAAATTAGTTGGTTCATACTTTAAGATGTTCGTATAACCACCTTTTGTTAGAAAAAAAATTCACGGCTCTATCAAATTCGTTGTTTAACACGTCGAAAATTGAGGATTTATTTCGAACATGCGCTCTTTCATCGCCTGTCACATTCCTGACAGGCAATAATCGGATTGACCAGATCTCGCCTTCGGCTTCGTCAATAAGAGATCTGGGTCTCTGAGATGATCTGGGGTCTCTAGGATCCATTTCAAACAAAAAAAAAGTTAGGGGCTAAACCGATCTCAGAGAGTGACCTCAATGTGAGCGAGGCCTTTAAAACATAAATAATCCAAGAGAGACTTGAACGTTTCTGACGCGTTGGCTCGTTTTAAACGTTTTACAACCATATAGCGCTCATTTGTACGATATTTTCTGCACGGACGACGTAAACTTCATATCACATTCAATTATGATTGAGAAAAAAAATCAATCTTTCGTTCATGTTTGTGACTTGCTTACCGCCACGTTACAGTCCACAGATAGACACAAGCGAAAATCATGCAGCTTTGCCGTTGGCACGTTTAGATCTATCAGTCAGCTAAAAATTGGTATAAAATTTCACAACACAGTATTACACGTACCTTTCTCTCCCAGCCTTTTGTTTTTGCTTGGGCTTTCCCATAACGCATTTAAAAAAAATAAATAAATAAATAAAGGAGAAAAGAAAAAATCCAACAGACAACAAACTTAAAACTCGTCTTATCGATGTGGTGGCGAGATTTCACTCGAATGCGGGGGATGAATGAAAAAGACACCCACCATGTCCTTGCACGTGATTACTTTAGTGACAGCTGATTGGTACGGTTCGGACAGTATCTAGCTTACTTCTAGCTCAAATAAAAAATTATCGAAACCATGAAACTATTCTCACCGAAACTACTAGGACCAAATTAGGAACTAGGAGACTGTGAATTTCTTTTTTTCTTTTTTGGTAAAATGTTGAAAGTGGACGTTTATTTTCAATTGTGAACCAGGAGGACCAGGAAGGTTCAAGAAAAGGTTCACCCCAGGTGCACCTTTTCCGGTCCTATGCCAGGTCAAATTGCTTTTGATTTTTTGAGTTCAGCGAAGCGAGTGAACAACAGAGAATGAAACATAGCCAGAGGTTGAAGCTATTCACAACAATCCAATTTATACCTTAAAAAGGCTACGCTGTATTCCCTCGAAAACCCCCGAATTTTGTGATCCTGCCAGCCGCTCATAAGCAAGGGTCACCTCGCTGACCGTGGCCTTGACCTTTCATATGGAACTCGTGAACTATTTTTTTAACACCAGATATGCCGATATTACACTGTATGTCGTCACGTTGAGGTATATACCCTGGGGAGGCTTTCCATAGATGGTTTTTCTTTCGAGCGAGTAGCTCAATCCAATCTGGAGTGGATCTTTCGGTAACTTGGATTCTGGATTCCAATCTTTAGTAGGATTCCGGATTCTTAGTGCTGGATTCCAGGTTCCAAAGCCCAGGATTCCGGATTCCACAAGCAAAAAATTCCTGGATTCCGGAATCCGGATTCCCTTACATGGGGCGACAAAAATAGCGATTAAATCGCTAAGTTCACACCAAAAAACACAGGAATGCATACTAAGTAAGTCTCCTTTATTTGTTTTAAAGAAAAAAAGTAAAACTAATGATATTTAGCGTTCGCGAACTTTAGTATTTTATTTCTCATACAGAGTCTCAAAGGTCGCTTACCGACTCTTGTGAGATAGTAAATTTCCATAAAAACACTCGTAACGTGAGCTTGGGACGCCTCTGGTCAAACCTCTATTAAGCGGTTATCCTCGGGAATTAGTCAGGTGACCGCTTACTTGTGTCAAATTATTATAAAATTGCGTAGTTTGGAGTTCTACTTTTTTCCTGGTATGAACAGAGGACTGCCTATTTCGTACCAGCAGCTCAAGCTCATTGGAGACCGTTCAAATGGTGCACCATTGTTTCTTCTCAATTTCGGAGAAAAGCTACGAAAGCGCGCACTCATTTCCCAGAAAACAGACTTCAGTCACTAAAAAAAACTTAACTGAAGTCCGAATCATCTCGGAGACTAGACTGGGCGTTTCCCCTTCGACCACTTTTTTCTCTTGATTACTTCGCTGGCCTGTGAACTGCAAAGAACTGGTTAAAGACTGCTCAAAGTGGCGAAAACGGATCGCGCTGCTTAAGCAAACCAGACTTTAGACAAAGTTCCATTGTAATCAGATGATTAATCTGCGGGGAATGAAGAAGTGCTACCCTTGTATAGAGTTTTAACTGTGTGAATTAAATAACGAATATTTAACAATTATTCCTCGAGCCCGTTAGGCCTCATGGGCGAGAGGAATAATTGTTTTAGTAAAATCCAACTAGTTGGTCAAAAATATCGAAAATAAAAAAAAGTTTAGCTAGTTAAAGCTAGCCTTTAATCTTTTTTTGCCGCCAAAAAGCCGGCGCTTTTCGCTACTAGTGGGCTATAACATATAGCCTAGTAGTAGCTCAACCAATCAGAACGCAGCATTGATAATAGACCACAGGCTGGGTTTTACTCTAATAATAATTAACTTGTTTTTTAAATCATTAACCTAGATTTACCGACAACCTACAAAGGTCGAAAATGTTAATCGACACATGTGGACCCCCCGATTCAGACCCTAAAAGGCCTAAAAACAATAAGAAATTCCAACAGGCAAATGCGACAGCTATACGCGTATGTTGCGATGGCCTACTGATCCACCCTAAAATCGACAAGCCCATAATGTGGCAGAAATTGACATAGAGGGTAAAATTGACCACTCTCTTCACAATAACAGTAACGCGAAATATGATTAAAGGAAAATCTAGAGACTCGTGAAAAAAAACTGGGAGATTCTACAAAAAGTAGTGAGATTCTTGTTTCTATCCCGATCAGAAAACGGAAACGACCGATGACTTCCGGCTAAATAATAAAATCGGCCAATTTTTATCTCCCAAGAAGGGGTTATCGAATGCTATTCAAAAATGAATTTCTTTTGTTTCAGTTTCGCTTTAAACCAAAAATATCAAGCCACAAACTTTTTCGTCTGATAGCAGCAAAAAGGGGCCGGTTCCCCTCGAAAACGGTTCAGAAATCACTATCGCAACGCAAAATAATGAGAAAACTACACAGTGATGAAGAAAAAGGCCTTTTAATGCAATATTATTCGATAAACATCGAAAAAATGTCGAAGCGAATAAAAAATAAATTTTCAAATTTGATGGAGCGTTGGAGCTGATTTTAAGAT